TATACCGCCCAGCACTAGTATGAGTTTTTCATTTTTATATTTATCACATAAAACAAGAGTACTTTCCTGAATATCAGCACGTGTGCGCAATTTCAAATGTGCTATTTATTTTATACAACAACGCAAAGAGAGCAACACTGCGGTGTTTCATTCCTGAATGAATCTGTTTTTAAACAAATCAAGTGAGCCAGTGATTCAATGATCCATTTATAAAGATAGTCACTTGCTTCGTTTCTAATTTAATCAGCCATTTTGAATGAAAGGTTTGACTGAATGATTCAGTGAATCATAAAACAGGGATTTGCTGCCACCTAATGGTGGTTTTAGTGTCATATACTGTATATTTATCTATGACATGCCTAAACCAGCCAAGGTACCAGCACAAAACATCCCTAGGTTCCGACTGTAACCATGGTTCCCTGAAGGGAACGCTGCATCGGAAACACTTTGGGAATGTGTCTGTGTGACCGCGTACTGAAGCACAGGTGAAATCAGTCCAGTAGAGTGCTGAGATATCACGGGCGGGGTGACGTAGCGACCAGGAAGCTTAAAAAATGCATCCAGTGAAAACAACGCTAGCTTCTGATAGGTTGAAGCTCGTGAGGGATGCATCCATCGTAAGCATTAAGCAATGACAAAGATCTCCCAACACGAGACCCTGGGACAGGAACCAAGGCTTCTTCCACATGACTAAGGCACGAAGGCATAGCCACGTGACCTTGATCAAACAAAATGGTTGCCCCTCGGGGAAAACCCCTTAGTCATGAGCCACCACTGCAAGGGCCTCATGTACAGCAGGCCAAAAGGTATCACGTTGGACGCAGGTGCCATCAGACCCAACAGCCTACCTTGACACTGTTCACGGCTGCAATAATCGAATCGATACAAGCAGGAGACAGACGTGCCTGCATAGTCATCGAATCCCAAACCATGGCAAGATAGGTGGTCCTCTGAACTGGAGAAAGCTCACTCTTCTTGGCATTCAACCTTAACCTCAGCTCTTTCATATGGGCAAGTATGACATCTCGATGCTGAACAGCCATCTGCTCTGATTGAGCTAGAACAGGGACGGCGTTTCCATATGGCAGAGTATGGCAGTCGCCATACCCTAACCCAGTCAGGAGGACTCCTGTAGAAAATTTCATATCTCTCTTAGCCTATATTTTGTTATTATTATTTTAAATCAGTTCTATTGGTCTTCCTCGTGTCTGTTTGAGGGTTTAACAAATATTTAACCAATGAAAACCATTTAAAAGAGCTTGTCTCTAAACGCCATTGGATCCTCAAATTATCAGCAAAACCTCGTAACTTCACCCCTCCTCCATTCAGAATAAAGCACCGCGCACAGCCTGGAGGAGACATATCTCCGCTTGTTCGCAATGCAAGGGTAAATAAATGACTGATGTTTGAAAAAGTAAAACATTTTCTTTACTCAAACTATGTCTGTAAAGGCTAATGTTTTTGTGTGTTTGAAGAGCGGAGAAGAGCATTTGCCATCTAGTTGTAGCCAATATACTTTTGTATGTTTTAAATATCCTGTGCATATAGCGCTTCGCTTATATCATGAGATTTGGGCCAAATGTATCAAACAAAAAGAAAAACTAAAGCGCCCATATAGATACAATAACTGTTATACAACCTGTAAGTTGATGAAAGTGTAGGCTATAATGCGATGCACTTGCTGCCTCAGATACAGCCGTTCTAAAGACAGACAAAAACACAGATCTCCATCATTCGCTGGTTAAAAACCTTGATAACTCCATTTGAGCTTGATTTTCCTTAATTATCTGATAAAGCCACAATACTCTGACGACGCAGTGTTTAATTATTGAAATAAAAATAAAAAAAATAAAAAACTTTTCCTTTTCTGTCTTTGTTTTCCCCTATTTTATATATCAAAACTGTAACCACCCCCCCCCCCCCCAGACGACATGTCGATGCCAAACCGCCATATGCTCTGATTGAGCTAGAATTAACAAATCGTCAATGTAGTTCAGTATGCGGATGCCCTGGAGTCTGAGAGGAGCCAAGGCAACATCCACACACATAGTGAATGTGACCGCGAATGGAAGAACCCGGTATTGGTATGCTTCGCCCTCGAAAGCAAACCTCAGGAACTTCCTGTGCTTGGAAAGGATGGAAACATGGAAGTATGCGTCATCAAGTCTATGGTGACGAACCAGTCCTCGGACCTGATTTACATCAAAATCTGTTTCAACTTCAGCATCTTGAATCTGAACGTCTTGACAGAGCGATTAATTTGGCGCAGATCTATGATAGGACGCAACCCTCCATCCTTCTTGGGAACACACTCTATAGCCTCCTTTCTCAGGAGGGTAGCCACTACTTGTTCCATCACCAGAGCCTGTTCGGGGCCTAACAGAGTAAGTGTGACCCCGTTGAATAGAGGCGGACAAGAAACGAATTGGATTCTTTAGCCTCTCTCAACAGTCTGCAGGTCCCACTGAGACACGTTTAACAGAATTTTCCACGCTGCCAGATGGTCTACTAAGGGAATCAGTCTCTCGAGACCGACCTCTGGTGTACTTTGAGCAGTCAGCTCAGCGCCCTGAAGCGGATAACTGGCAGGGAACAACTGAATTGGCTGCTCTAATAACCTCCTTGGAGGATACAAGCTTCCGGGTGGAGACTGAGAACTGTGCTCGCTGGAGACCGCTCTGCCCTGAAGCACCGGAGGTGGCAGGGTTGACAGACAGTTCTCCTGAGGGCCCTGATGAGAGTCAGGCACCGTATGATGAGGTGTACTCCGCTCTTCCCCAGAGGAGCTTACCCTCAGAAGCCTGGCACCTGAGGCTTCCCTCCCTAGAGGACTTTGGCTAAGAGCCTCACCCCAACCCCTGATCTCTCTGAAGGGGAGTATGGGAAGCGATGCTCTTCTTCTGCTGCGCACTGTATGAGGAGCCGGAAGACGGCTGGGGCTGCTCCCGCCCAGCAGCCCCTAAGACCGGACAACGGCAAGGAAGAAACCACTGGAATGTCGCCGCCTGCTTCTTTGCTTCCTGAAGCGTCTTGACGACAGAGCTGACAGCGTCGCCTAAAAGGCCAGAAGGAGCAAGCGGGGCGTCCAAAAGGAAGAACCTGTCCTTGTCCTTCATATCGGACAGGTTCAACCAGAGATGTCTCTCCATAGCCACCAATGCTACCGTGGAGCGGCCAATAGCTCTGGCCATTTCCTTGGTGGCCCAGAGAGACAAATCAGCAGCACGATGCAACTCTTTAATATCACCAGAGTGCACTTCCTCGTCTTCGTCCAGGTCTTTAAGCAGGTCTGCAGACAAGCACAAGCCTGCCCTGCCACTATAAAAGCTTTATTCACCTAGGCCGATGTTGTCTTTAAAGGCCTGGTGGGCAACGCCGGAGCCTGCAGGGACGATGCTGACCCTGGGGACAGATAACTAACAAGCGTCTGTTCAATCTGGGGCATCATCCCATAGCCATGTTCTCTCAGCCCCAAGATGTTAGAATAATTACTGACATTAGGGCTGAAAAGATGGGCTGAATAAGGTCTTTCCCATGATCTCAAATACTCAGTGTGGAGATCAGAGAAGAAAGGAAAGCTCCGATGTGGAGGAGGTGACTTAGAACGCAGGAAGCATTCGTCTAGCTTGCTTTTAGGACGATCTTCCTGCCTCTCAGCCAGCCAATATTTTTTTTATTTAGCCACAGCACGAGTCACCACATCTAACAGCTCCTCATACTGGATGGACTGGGGTGACGAGTCCCCAGCCTCATCCTGTTCGATGCTCTCCACATCGACCTCCTCAGAGGAAAAGAGGCGAAGCAACATACTCTCACTCCAGGGGGAAGAAACCACAGATCGTGCTTCCGAACCCTAAGAGCGAGCACTGGATCTAGAGAATGAGTGCACAGAAAGGGCCATGCCCATCTGCAACCCCTCCACTAGATCCATCTGGGATCCCCACAATCTCAATCGCCACTCTGCCTCGGCAGCCGCGGATCCAGAACTGCAAGGATCGTGAGTCTGTGCACCCTCCTCAAAGAGCACCAGGCAGGAGCGGAGCGTATACAGCGGCAGCAGCTCACAATGCATACAGTCAGCTCCTTTGAGAGCTGCCTGTGCATGTTTCGCTCCCAGATAAGCAATACAAAGACCGTGTGTATCCCCGCCTGTAATTAAACGCGGGCAGGGAGGAACACACTGACTAAAGCGCTGATTGTCTGACTTATCACTTGCCATTCTCTATATCAGTGGTTCCCAACCCTGGTCCTGGAGGCACCCCAACACTGCACATTTTGCTCCTTTCTCTGACGCACCAGTTTCAGATCTTGGAGTCTCTACTAATGAGCTGATGACCTGAATCAGGTGTGTTTGATTAAGGAGACATACAAAATGTGCAGTGTTGGGGTGCCTCCAGGACCAGGGTTGGGAACCAATCAGTGGTTCCCAACTCTGGTCCCGAAGTATCTCGACACTACATATTTTGTATTTCTCCTTAATCAAATGTACCTGATTCAACTTGCTCATTAGACTGGGAGTTAGAAATGGAAGACATCCAAAAGTGCAGTGTTGGGGTGCCTCCAGGACCAGGGTTGGGAAACACTGCTCTATATAACTGAGTTTGTGCACCGGCACAACACACACACTTCAAAAACACCTTTTAGATGGACGTTGTTTTCACCTGATGCATCATTAAAGCTGCAGTCCGTAACTTTTTGGATTAAAAATTATCCAAAATCAATTTTTGAGCAAGTACATAACCAGCCAGTGTTCAAAACTATCTCCTTACTTTAGCTGGATTCAGAACGGTAAGCTTGTAATAAAGTGTTCTAATTTGAGTGGTAGTGGTTTTATTTTATTTAACTTTGAAAAGGCTTTTTTACAGTGTTGTTTAAAAAGCCTCACAGTGGCTGCTATTTGTTTAGTTAATTCACTATAATGGAGCTGTATTATCTGAAACCATTGATCATTGATAACTTTGAACATTACTTTTGTTATTCTGTCATTTTCTCTCATACAGAACATTGTATGCACCATGGGACTAAAGTGGTACCCTAACCCAGAGGCCCTCCATTGCATAAAGGGATGCGAAGTAAGACCTACCTCACATATTTCTACATATATATTTTTTTAATTATCTTTATTTATAATAAAATGTTATTCTTTATTTATTTTTAAATAATTACATTTTTTATTAGTTTTTTATTATATTTATATATTAATTTATTTATCTGCTTTTTATTTGTTGAAAATCATTTCTTTTATTAAATATTACATTTGTATTTATCTATTATTTCACTTCATTTTATTTATTTGTTGGTTTTAAATTATTTTTGATTCATTTATTTTTATTATTCAGTTAATTGTCTGTTCACCATTCTCCCGTTGTACGTTTGCATGATAACAACATTATGCCCCTGAAGGTAATCTCCCAGCCATAGCTTTAATCTCTATACAGTCATGGAGGTCTGTTCTCTGGAGCATGACCTTGAACAGTTGTTTCTGCCATCTTCTCACGCTCTTTGAAGTCTAATACATAAATAAACATGCTGTGCTTAGTGTCTTCCTCTCCTTTGCTCTTTGGACCAGTCTAGCCTAATCTGAGTCAGGTTTAACAGGGCCAACAAAAGCAGACAAGTGGGATTTGTTACCACCTTTGTTTTTAAGGGCAATTTGTTTTATTTTTGCATTTTAGACGAACCTGGAAACCTCATTTAGAGGGTATCATGTTCCCAACTTCCTCAAATCACAGAGTGAGAATAAAAAAAACAGCTGCTGTGTCTTCTTGCAGAAAGAGCTGTTGAAAAATAATTTGCCACTAAAAAGACTGAACTGACATTTTCACATATACTGTATGTTGCTCTTTGAAGAAACATAATTTCTTTAAAGCACATGTGACTTTTCTTGCCAAAGCCACTGCACTGCTATCCTGAAAGTGCGATTAATCTGCACCTCTCTCTCATGTATAACGAGTCTTGCTGTGGCAGTGAGATGACCAGTCCATTTTTTATTCGGGCCAGAGCAGCAGACTTTTGAACCCAACTCATCCTGACCCAGTTTCAATTGGTGGTAATTAGCAGCCCTCTGAAAGCTTTTGGGTCAGGCCAGAGAGATTATTTCAAACTGGAAAAGGTCACAGGTGTGTTGGGCAACCTTTTGTGCCTGTCAAGATGAAAACGTGTAGTAACTCCCAAGGGAGACACATAAGTTTAATAGGGCTTCGGTTTCCCCATTAAAAGTGGCCTCCACCATCTACAAGCCCGGGAATACTAACTCAATTTTTCCAGGGCAACATAATTGCAACAGACTCAAGTCTGTGTGTCTATTTTTACACCGTTGTGGATGTACACAGGGTGAATGGCTGTCTCTTTATTTCTTGCTTTCTGGTTTTATATGAATTTATTGATGGAGTTTATGGGGGAACACGTTATTATTTGACAGTGTATTGCTGATGTTATTTGTGTTTAAATATGTAGTAATTTCATGTTACAGAGCAGTTTTATCTGTTTTTCACCAGCCGTTCATGGGTGATAATTACTGCGACGCCATCAACAACCGAGCGTTCTGCAACTATGATGGAGGAGACTGCTGCCATTCTACTGTTAAAACCAAAAAGGTAGGTTTTTTATTTTTTAGATGTTTAATCAGTTGAATTCCTTGTTTACGCTTCAAGAGCTGGTAAATAAATGGAGTAAAAAGCTGTAAATCACATAATTTGCTTAGTTACTACAGATTCAGACAGGGTAAAACATCTTGCGTTGTAATAATTATCTCCTCGGAGAGGAAACTTAAGGACACCCACAAAAGTGGGGGGAAACTCTCTGAACCCTATCCACAATGCATTGTAGACATTGTAGATGAAGCACGCACATATATGTTTGGGTGTTTTTCCAAAGCCATGGCAACAAATGGTTGCATATAGCATTTCCATATGGACGTTCACCTCACTTTCCAACAAAGAGAAAGATCCGAGAGTTTAATCCCGAGGGTGGTAAATAGCCCTAGAAAGGCTTCTTCTGCACGCTTGTGTACTGTTCTTTTTCCAATGGACTTGTCATCCTCTTTCACTTGATCCTCTCTTGCTTTTTCCTTGAGCAAGTTTTCCTGGCTGCCAGAGAAAGTGAACTTCTCTTTTGACAGACAAAGAATGAAGTAACTTCTCCAAAGTTACAACAGCGAACTCTGGAAGCACACTGGACGGCTCTACTCGTGCGTGGTGCCAAAACAAAAAAAAAGTTGGCATGTGTGATGACGCATTTCCCGGCAGAATACACAACTTGTTGTGAAAGGTCTAGAACCGGCAGTTGGAACTGTACTCTTAGCATTTAAATGCAGCTGTAAATCATATAGAAACGTATAAACTGAGGATTACCAGAGGATTACCCATGCAAATAATAAAACTAACTGCACATCCTCCACCTCTCAGGCTGAGCTGCTGACCGATTCGTTGTCAGTCCTGAATTGTGCTAATAAGTGGCTGTAAATAAGGAATTTGACTTTCTTTGTAAGTTGAGAACAAAAGAACGTTTTACAGTAGTCTTGTATGAATTCTGAAAGGTTGCTGCCAAAAGCAAATAATTGATTAAATTGCTCCACCACAAGTGCATCTGCCCGGTGTAATTTTTGTATTTAGAGAAGTCAATAAATGCTTAATTTTCATCTTTGTCATGTAATTTTAAGGAGTTTTAGGGAGTAATAATGTAAATGCTTTCATTATGTAATGGCTATCACATCCACCCAATTGACCCTGTGCTGAGCTCCACCTCAGACAAGCTTTTTAGAGATTTCTTGATTTTCAGTAAAATGTACTAATTAAATGCAGGAATGAATTGCGACATGGCAAAATATTTTTCATCTGGCTTAAAAAAAAAAAAAAAAAAACGTTCAACTATGCAAGCATAGATTATGATTAAACTGTTGAGTTTTCAAATCAGAATTGAGGCAAACACTTCTCACAGTCAACTGAAAAGAGACAAGACTCATTTGAAAGGGATTACTGTAAGTAAACGGAACTGTTCCTAACGTGTCTACAATACATTCAGTATGGTACTGTGAACTAATTACTATCCACACTACAATGATCTTGAGTATAACATAAATATGTTGATGTTTCCCTTGGTTCAGAAATAAGTGTTTGCACTGATATTCTTCATTTGGCAATGAGGCTGACACAAAGTTAGTTAGCATGAATTTAAGATTAAAATTTAAAAAGCAAAGCAATAATGGCTTCATCCTCATTGGGTGCATTAGGTGCTGTATTTTTGTATAGTTTCCATAAAATTGTGCTTAAGGATGCTTTCACTTCAAATGAACTTTGGCTGAAATTAACCAGAAAAGGAACTGTCTGCAAGTGACCCCAGTGCTCAAATTAATTAGTTTGAATAAGTTAAAATGCTCTAAAACTACCCAAAATCACATAAACTTACACTACTGTTAAAACGTTTGGGGTTTTTAATACTTTGATTCAGCAAGGATGCATTAAATTGATCAAAAGGACTTATAATTTTACAAAAGATTGCTATTTCACATAAACGTTCTTCTTTTGAACTTTATATTCATCAAAGAATCCTGAAAAAATGTATCACATTAAGCAGCACAAGTGTTTTCAACATTGATTATAATGAGGAATGTTTCTTGAGCAGCAAATCATCATATTAGAATGATTTCTGAAGGATCATGTGACACTGAAGACTGAAGAAATTCAGCGTTGCCATCACAGGGATAAATTATATTTTTAAATATGTTAAAATGTATTTAAATTTCACAGTATAACTATATGAGTATGAGACTTCTATTAAAAAAAAAAAAAAAAAAACTTACCAGCCCCAAACCTTTGAACAGTTTAAGAAAGAGCCAAGTTAAGCTTGTCTGAGAAAATGACTGGTATGACTAGTCAGTAGCATTTTTAGGAATAATATTTCAACCTCCCAGTATATATATTTTAAGCAATAAACCTTGTTCATTGTGTGCTGAAGTTGTCATTTTCTTATGACTTGTACTTTTGAATGTGCGTTTTGTTCCTTCTTTTTGTGGGAGCCGCAAAGATATCATCTTCCACAATGACTTGAAAGAGGACACTTACTGTAGATCAGGGTCATATCAGGTCATAACAGACAGCACTGAAATGATGTTTTGATTCCTCCCCCCATTTGATGGTTTATTGGATTTAGTAAACAGAATTTGGTGGCTTCCACTGAAGCTCTGTTTACTTGTGTCATCGTTGGTGGTCTTCGGTGGGCCGTTTTCATTGTTTCTTTGGAAGGACTGTATGTTTTTCAATCCAGTGTTCCAACAACTCACAGTATACATTGCTTGTATTTGTCAGAGCTCTTGTCAGCCAAGGTCTTTTCCTCCCAAATGCACCATCAATAGCGAATAACTGCCCTCATAAGCCCCACAGAGCAATTAGGAAAAACTAACCCAGGCCTCTGACGTGCTACGAGCAGACAGAAAAGCAACATTGACACAAAGCATCCTATTAGTTTGTTGGACTTGAGGATGACCAGGATTTGAATCCGTGCCTTTTAATGATGAGGTCTTACATTTTAGAGCTGAGGTCATGACGGCAGAACTAAATTTGCTTCCAGTTGATGTGTTTAGTGGTGACGCTAAACAATTTTCTAGCAAAGTCCTCCAGATTTCCGTTGAACGCAGATCTAAATCGTGCCCCAATATAACTTAAACGTGGAATTGCACCCTATGTATGAAACTACATTGCCTTACGTTGTGTAGAGAGCTCAGAGGAGTAATATGGAAAATTGTTGTAGGTCAGTTGTAGGATCTCAGCTGGTGCGTCCAACCCAAATGCCGAGTACATTAACTTGCTAAAAATGGTTTGTTTGTGCAGTAAATTATTGGCTACCGTCGAATTTCAAGAGACATTTACAAACCAAGCATTTAAACTATAAAGACAATGTGCAGCTGAGTATGAGCATATTATAGTGTTTGTTTTTAAGGACATATTCTGCTTACTTTTGTGTCTCAAACAGTCTTGGTACTGTGTTGGGTTGCCACTTGATGTTCAGTGCAAAATTTGAGTTTTGAAGCAAAACAAGTTGAGAACCACTAAACTTAATTTTTATGTGGTCAAACAAACAGTATCAAATCATTTTGTGGGCAATTGTTCAAACCTTCTTTTATTACTACTGAGGCTATTCCTCATAGCGACCCCTAGAGGACGCAGTTCAAAGTTCCCATGAAAGGGAATCACAGTTCCTCTACCACCATCCCAATGACATCAATACAGAAAAGGTCAGATGTTGTGAGAACATTCAGTGGTTGCAAGGTTTGCTGAAGGAAAAGTGCACTGACAGCTCAGCTTACTGTCAAAAGCTGCCTGCTGACTTCTCAACCTCACTTCTTTCATGTCAGAGTTTGTCTGAATCTTGTGAAATGCTGATATTTATACTATCCAGATGTCATGGTCTCAGTGGCATGAACTGCACATTAAAAGGAGGTAATTTATTTGGAAGCAAGCAACATATTAATTGTAGCTGAACAAATGCATGCTCTAATACCTTGAGTATTAAACTTTGTGTGGGTAACTCAACCTGCACTGTTTGTGCTACAGATAGTTGTAATTAATATTATTCTTGCTTAATATTTCCATTTTAGAAGAAAAAGAAATTGTAAAAAGGAAAATAGATTAAATTAAAATTTCATACAAATTTATAAAAAAAAAATTCAGATATTATTTTAATCAATCCATTTGGCTTTGGTACAATAACAATATACAAGATTTTTACTTTTTTGCAAAAAAAAATTGTTTTCTTTATAATGTCATGCTGAATATTTATTTATTTCATTTCATTTCAGTTAATGTTTTTTTTTCATGGTTTTAGTTAATTACAATATCTAACTAATATCTAACAATATCTCTGTAGATACCTAATTGTAGCTACAACTCAGTTTTGATGAATTGTTCACTTTTGCAGTTGTTTTTAACTTGAAAAAATGCACAGTATTTTTTTTGCAGTGTTTTGTTTGTTTTCCCTGGAAACAATTCGGGGATGGCTGAGGGCAACGAAAACATTTTGAAGACACACATACACACGCACACTTAACAACTGGAGAAGTGTTGGTCGGTTGTAATGAGGAGTGTGGCAATGGAGGGAATGTTGTCAGCCAGAGTTTGTGGGCACTATGAATGGACTAGATTTACAGTTGGGAAAATCCCCTACAGTGGATGGGGACACCAAAAGGAAAGGCCTGTGTATTTCACAGGGCAAAGAAAGGGCATTCCTTCCCTCAATGCTTCGAACACAAGAGATTCCTTGTTACTCTGTACACATATACGCTCTTGCGTTCCCTCTTTTTTTCACTCTGCACTCGCACGCCTCCAAGTGCGCTCACACTGATCTATCAGTGCACACAAACAGTATAGTTCACAGGGACTGAAAAGATACCTCTTTCTGTTTGACATCAAAAGTAAAAACAAGCTGGGATGAGCATACAGTTGCATTGTTAGTGGTTCATGTATACTAGAGGTGTGGATCAGATTCTCAAAAATGTGTTCCATTCTGTGGATACGTGTGGATACATGGAGTTGTTTTCACTGACAAACAGTGATTTAAAACCTTTTTTTTTTTTTTTTTTTTTTTTTTGCATTCCAGCTCCAGTGTTCCGCATCCTCTTTTCCCCAAATGGTAGAATAGTTAGAACTAAATAAAAGGATAATGATGTTATTTATAAAATGAGAGCACATTGTACTTTGGTCGGTGGCCACACACACACTCTCACGCTCTCACCGTATCTAATTTGACAAAAGTGCAAGACTAGTTTTGACTGATGTTTGATAGATAGCACATCTCACCACAGTATCAACCAAGGTCAACTGTAAAGATTTTTGTTACCGTATTCAATTATGTTCTTCAAAAAGCTTGGTTTGTCTCAATTGTTTTTTTGTTTTTTTTCATTCTGTGAACTGTTTGTAGTCCTTGCTGACTTTTACAATTATTAATTTGCATTGTTAAAAAAACTGAGCTTGTAAAAAAAAAAAAAAAAAGGTTATTGGAGTACGTAATAGTATTTTAAAATACTATTTCAGTCTTTCTACTTCAAAATATTGTGTTTAATTCATTGTTACTTGCTGTTTCTTTGTAATTATTTGTGAAATGTAAAGACATTTTTCAGTGTAACAGATGCTTTCATCCAAAGCAGCTGACAAATTGCAATTTGTGATTATATTTATATAATATTTGCTGACAAATATTGTCATTTGAGATGTTAATGCTGGTGACAGCTTTCAACTGGGAAAGAATAGGAAGATCTGAGATGATGTTTTGGTTATAGATACTGCTCACTGATGGTTTGGTAGCTGTTTTTTGTTGTTTCATTGCTCATTCTTAATGAATTCTTAGTAGTTCGCCCCAAAAAAAAAAAATCTGTCATCATTTACTCACACTCCAGAAAGTCATACAGGCATAAGGTCAAGTAAATTATGAAAAACCTTTTTGGGTGAACTATCCCTTGGAACAGAATCTCTGATGTATTTGTAATGTAATTGATGAAACACATTGAACCCCCTTCTTTATTATGCTGAATGTGATCCCGTCAAGCTCTTGGACTCAACCCACTTTGATATTTTGTCTGTGCCAGGTGATTCCATTCCCTATGTCATGTGACATTCGAGAAGACTGTGCATGTCGAGACCCCGACGCCCAGGAGAACAACAAAGGAGTCCGCCACAGGTCCATTGGCTGAGCTTGGTACCCCCTGTGGCACCCAGGGGGCCTGCTGGGAAACCATTCTTCTCTACATGCTGCTTATAAGAGGGCCTTTCCACTCACACCGCACTCCAGCATGCCCTCGTTTCCTCATCAAACAGCGACAATCTAAGAGGGTATGACACTCAAAAACAAACAACCAACCAAACACATCAACAACCGGTTTCGCAAAGGACAAGAAGTGGAAGTTTTATGAATGACTTATGGCAATAGCAACCATAGATGTCATCAAACTAAAGCTCAAACAAGCCTGGGCTGACAGTTTTATTGTTTTATGTTTGCTTTCATTGATCATTACTTGTAAAGCGCAACCATGGCAATGTTGTTTTTATGTAGAGCCAGAGGAATAAGGGAGGAAAGGAAAAAATGCAGCTGTTAATGTTTGACTGTAGTCAGAAAATGGGATGATTCCAATCGATTCAAATCAAGACCTCCAAACTAAAGCAAATAGATGAATGAGAGGACCTCTGATGCTTTCACGATGCCCCTTAACACCTGACCTCTGAGACTGTCTCGATGACAGTTTAGCCATACGCTGTGTCCTCTCATATCGAGTGTTCTCTGTGTTCTTATATTTATCATTTCAGATATCAAAGAGGAAATACCTACAAATGGACCTTAATATCAAATCCAAATTTGTGTCACACGAATGGCTTGCACTCCTCTGAATGTTTGAGCTGCTCGTACTCACTAAGAAAAAAAAATATCTGGCTGACAACCTCAGCGTCTGTATGAAACATCGAGGGATGATGGGAATGTTTCACAGTGCATAGGAAGATGTACGAGTGCAGCTGCTGTGGCCCTAAATCACAAAATCCTGTATATCAGCAAGAAATGCACAAATCTGATGCCGAAAAATCATCAGAGGAGGTGTTGATCCAGTGAGTTACATCCAGAGAGAGAGAGCTTGTGAAAGAAGCTGTGTTAGCACAGCTGTTGCTGCTAGTTTTGCTGCTGTGGCCATGCAGCCAATTCTGTCTATGGACAGTTTGTAGTTTAATGTAAGTGCAGTCTGCCATAGATTTTACCTCTGGTCAAAATGCAGTTATATCAACTTTACAGGAATACATACATTTGTATACACGCAAACAGCTTTATATGTGTAGATATGCCAACAGGTTCCCCTCTGCAGAAAAAAAGGCTGTTTTGTATAGACCCTTGGGCTGTCAAAGTTCACACACTAATTGGCATAATGGTTTCATTCTGTTCTTTGTGATTTTCTAAAAACTGATCTGAGCTGAACATTCGGAGCTAATTGAAATGGATCACGCACCCATGTTGCTATCAGTAAAAGAAGAAAGATGTTCTTCATGGATAATTTATTTATAAATCAATCCCTGATGGGACGTATTTCCTGCCTGCGTGTTTGGTGCAGTTTGATAAATGTGACCCTGGACCACAAAACCAGTCTTAAGTCGCTGGGGTATATTTGTAGCAATAGCCAAAAATACATTGTATGGGTCAAAATTATTGATTTTTCTTTTATGCCAAAAATCATTAGGATATTAAGTAAAGATCATGTTCCATGAAGATATTTTGTAAATTTCCTACTGTAAATATATTAAAACTTAATTTTTGATTAGTAATGTGCATTGCTAAGAACTTCATTTGGACAACTTTAAAGACGATTTTCTCAGTATTTTGATTTTTTTGCACCCTCAGATTCCAGATTTTGAAATAGTTGTATCTCGGCCAAATATTGTGCTATCCTAACAAACCATACATCAATGGAAAGTTTATTTATTCAGCTTTTAGATGACGTATAAATCTCAATTTCGAAAAATTGACGCTTATGACTGGTTTTGTGGTTCAGGGTCACAAATATGATTAATATTAATAATTCGATTGACTACAGAATTTCTTTTTGAAACGAGTAAAAATTTAGCTCTATCTGGTGTCATATAGACATATCATCCACATCAATTGCCAAGCTCAAATACACATATTTCATGGAACTGAATGTGTTAATGCTGTGCATTAGAACTATGAAACAGATTAGATTGATTATGAGATTAATCATTTTAATAGATTGATAGCCCTATTAGAGACTCAATAGCCACTGAGATGATTGACTAAAAGAGAAATACAATTATATACACACTGACACAGCATATCCCAGACACAATTAATAATTCAAATAAAATGGACAGTCAGTCAGCGTTTGCTTGTTGATGAAGAACAGCTGAAGGGCATTCAGGACAATAACATATTTTATTAGGAACCATGTATCCATTCAAAAGTAATGCCAGATTCTAAGAAAAGTGAGTTAAATATTGACACAAAGAATGTAATTTAGGCTTCATTGTGAATATAATAAGCATTTAGAATTTAAGGTTCAATCTAATGTAGCATTATATTTGTAAAGAAAAGTTTTCTACACAGTTAAACTGTGTAGAAAACATGAAATAATTTCAGGCTTTGCAGTCCATTTTCATCTGGCATTTTGTAATAGAAATATCTTTTTGTGGTGCTCATTATTTTTGTGAAAAATAACTAACAGTAACATTAGCGCATAACAGCAGTGTATGTAACAGCTGGCTTGAAGTTCAACACAATAGCAATTATGCTATTTTGTAGTTAGTGTAATAACAGGCATTGTTAAGATTTATATTTATATGTACATCAGTGTAAAACTGGAGAGTATAGTCTATGGTGGTGTGGTAGTTAATGGCGGTCAGTATGACCCCATTAAACACATTATCTTTTAATATCTACACATTGGCATACAAACCACTTTTAGAAAGTATAGAACATCTAAGGAACATAAACATTTCTCAGAAGCATTTATCAGCCACCCTCACAATCTCCCTGAGCTCGCACAAATACATCTAAATGACACCTTTCTCATTACATTAGCAACGTAACATAGAAACAACAACAACTGTTGTGATAGCAGAAGTGAAGCTACTTATCAAACCAGGATATCCCAACATCACAGGTTGTCTCAGCCCAGCCGATGATAAGAGGTTATTTCTATGGCATTAAGGTCTAACGATGAATATTCTCTTTTTTCAGAAGAGTTTAAGGTAGGAAGGGCCTTGTGTGTATATTTATATCTGCTGGTTTTGTTCAACTATATCTCTGTCAATCAATATTTTTATCTTTGACCACAGTTGCTGCACTTGTCTTTGTACAGTTGTTTTGTTGATGAAATAGAAAAAAAGAAAGAAAAGAAAAAAGTTTACCATAAAAAAAAAACAAGCTGCTATGGTCAGACAGGTTATCATAATTGTTAAATTAAATAGTCGTTTAGTGTATGACATCAATGAATAGTACTTTATTCTGTGTGTTGTTATGTTCTACTTTTTTCACTTTGGTTGTAACAGCGAGTATAAAAGAGAGATGTGTGTAGTCTGATAATCAAAGGATATCCAAAGGGAAAAAATCGGACCTGCGAGAGACATGGCAACAGTGAGATGACAGAGTAGGTCGTGACAGTCACTGATGACTTATTTATTCATGTACACAAGCAGCTCTGTCCTCATTTCTTTCAATGTAAAGATCATGTCATATTTAGTCTCTATAGGTATCTTTGTTCCTAGTATTAAACTGTATGCTATTATTGCATAGTAAATGCTAAAATACTGCTGCTTTTATTCAATTATCACTTGGAAAGAGTGCCTACAAACAAATACCAATATATGTGCAATCTTATGAACCAGTATCACGAGCGGTTTCAGACATCACTGAAAATGGACTATTACTGAGCTTTACAGTACATACAGTTCTTTACTGGAGTGTTGTACACAAACAGTGATCAACCTTTTCTGTCTTTTTTTTTCCTAGAAATGTTTTTTTTTTTTAAAGCTGAATGCATTCTAACGCAACATTACCTTTTTCTTCTGAAGCCATGAAAAACAAGATCAAATCAAATGAAGTTTGGTGAAACAGTCTACTGTAAACTTAACAGGATCTTTTTTTTTGCTGTACCTCATGCCTGTAATGTTTGCTGCTTACTTGTTCAGTATTTTAGTAATTTAAATCTCTTAGCAATATACAATGTTGTAAATAATATAATTATTTATTAAGAATGTTGTCTTTTTTATTTATATTTACACAGTTCATCTAAGTTATTTTTATGTCTCCAGTGTTACTTGGTGTGATCAAAAGTCTTTTTTTCCTTGCTGTTTATTTCTCTGTCGGTTCCTCTGTTCCGGATAGAAAGCAAAGGTCTGGCGTAAGAAATGACCTGTTTTCCCAGCCACTCAATTTGTGGGAGTAATAAATAAAAGGAAAATGTTATAGAAATGTCACCTTTGGAAAATCATACAAAGCATTCCTTTGCCGTATTGACTTCCACCCGTGTTTTAGATTCCATATGTTTGTATATTCTGGGGGAAATTGGTCAGAGAGGTTCCGTTTCCAATTGCTGAGTAGATACATTGAACCGGTCTGGAGCTGTGGGGCTCGTGTGGTGTTGTGTAAATAGTAGAATAGGTGAGAGAAACTGAAAGACTGCTTGTGGTGGCTCAGCTGCTGATGTTTGGCCACGTATAGAAAGCCTCATGTGTAGATTCCTTCTATAATCCAGCATGTGTCCCTACATTTTCATCCTCACCGCAGAAAGAGGCACGTCCTCATGTCCATACATGAAGATGAAGTTGTACCTCAGCAAATTAATGTCCTATTTTGTACATCCAATTTTGTGATTTTAAAGGTTTCAACCTGTTAGAATAGCCTGAATTTCACTTTACATCCTGAGAATTTTGCCGTAATTTCACTTTCTGTGTTTCTACACAGTTTTGTACAGTGCTACTAGTAACATGACTGGACATCAATATTACGCCAGTTCAGCATGTTTTTCTCCAATCCCATACAAGATTACAGTTGCATGATCAAAACCGTGTTCCCAAAGTCTGAGATGTAAAAATTTGGTAGTGTGCTACTTTCATCATAGTATAGCAAATTTAGATGTATTTATCATACTTTTTTTTTTGCAACAAGAGATAATTTACCCCATTATGTGTCATTTGAATATTCATTTTGTGTGCTGTTTTTATTTTCACATCCTTTATATCTAAATCAAATATGTTACATGTTATTTGATATATATTTTTCCTGAGTGTGTTTCTTTTCAATGCCCTGCTCCATTTTGTGTCATTGTTTGGTCTCCAAATTTGCAAATTCCTCTGCGACTGCACTGACATAAAAATCAAGACCAGAAATTATGACAAACCTGTTGTTCTGTATCTCCAAATACAACCCTAAAAGGCTTGACCTCCTATACCTTGATGGTCTCCGTAAGCACTGGTTAGACTCAATAAACCCACTTTGCTCAGTATACATACTTAATGCACTGGTTTGGGCACTTACCACAATATTATTTTAATAACCAATTGATTTGTACCATTTGTCATTTTTCATGATTATCTCTGATGTGAGCAGTTTGCCACTGTTGTTTGTTCATTTGTTTGTTTTTATGTATAATATTGATATTATTTGTCACAGAGCAGACTAGTGTACTGTATATTTTCATGAACTCCTCAAGCATTATTAACAGTAAGTACATCAATGTTATTTTTTCTATGTATTATTTAGAAAATAAACACTGGTTAATGAAATGTAATTGTACCGCTTGTGTTTAATTGCTTTGTGAAACCTGATGTCCATAATACTGCTACTCCTGTAAGTATATTTCTGAAATGATCTCTAAATATTGTAATGGGAAATATGGAAGAGCAGGGT